AGAGCATCGAGGCTCAACAGGACCAGGCAGCTGACAAGCAGCCAGAGTCCATCGAGGCTCAACAGGGCCCAGCAGCTGATAAGCAGCCAGAGCCGATCGAGCTACAAGGCCAGCCAGCATTGATTGAGTCTATGGCTGTGTGAAGGTTGAATTGTTGTGTTCAACTGAATGAATAGCTTGTGTTCAGAGGTCTTGATGAATGCCAATGTCCCTGAAAGGCTCCAATGCGCATTTGCAGAAGCAGCAGCAGCAGCAGCAGCAGCCGCCACAAGAGCCACAACAGCCACAACCGGAACCCGCAACAAGGCGTGATTGTGCTTCAGCATGGCCCTCACTGGCTTGATTTTTTTGATTGACATTCTCAGGAAACAAGCTAGCCATGTTTAGTAGGAGATTGCCCTACCAGGGACAGATCTTCATATGATTCATATATTTTTCAGTGCTTTCACTCAGGCTCACGAGTTTTGAGTTTGCATTACTCTGTGTGTGCGTTAAAAGCTCATCCTTGCCTTAGTGGTCCTCTCTGGCAGTTCCTCAGCTCCCAAGAATGAGTACCTCGCCTTCCGTGAGATGCTAAAGTCCTGAGCTTGGCACACTCAAGGTCACTTGCAACTGCTGGTCAATGCATTCAATTGCACTGTTTCCTTAGGCATGAGTCTGCATTGCCTTTGCTTTCTAGGTTACAGGCACGACGATGCTGGTGATGTGTATCGCAGTTTTGCCCAGCTTTTCCAATCTGTGGCAGGATTTTGTCAGACAATTCCCCGAGGGTTTCTCGGCAGTTTTGACTTCATGTCCACTGTGAAAGCACTGATCAGTTCTTCGGAGTTGTCTCAGGAAGTTTGTCTCGCGACCAAGCTGCAGATAGGATTCATAAGTTCCTTTCAGCGACCCAGGACTGACAGAGAAAGGGCTGGGGTGGCATGGACAGCAATTGAAGCAGGTCTACGGTCTGCATGCTAGTCCTACAGCATGTTGGAAGAATAAGCTTCAAGCAAACAATGTTGAATCATGTGATAATTGTTGACGTGTTTATTTGCTCTTGTTGCAGTTTCCACCGTCCTTTTGACTTTAGAACTCGTTCACGCCAGCTGTAACGACCTTGGGGGGTTAGCGCTGTTGGCTAATAGCAACAACTCTCTCCCCAGTTGTCCTCCAAATTCATGTGCATATTTTCCCACCTGTCATGTTGTTGTTTTTTGCTTATAACTTATAACAACAACTTGTGGCCCTCCGAATTCACGTGAATTCATGTGCATATTTTCCCACGCCTGTCACGTTTCTTTTGGGAGGATTGGGCTGGGGGTGCCAAAACGCTCGGTATCTACATAATGTAATTACTATGTTTGGAAGACTGATGATCATGTGTGTCATGTTTGCGTAACATGAAGAAACCGTTGACGCTCTTGTATACAGTAATTACATGAGAAAAGTGTAGCCCAGGTTCCTTTCAGGTTCCTTCGCGTGTTGAATGAAGAAAGTGTGCACAGTGTAAGTATCGTTCACGTTCCTTTCTACGTTAAATGAAAAAAGTGTGTGTGTGTGTGCGTTTGGCTTTAGTATATATCTTTGAGGAAAGTGCGCACGTTTAAGTCTAAAGGAGGAAAGATTGGACTTTCATGTTTAGGAAACATGTACGTGAATGTGGAAAGAATTATCTTGGTGTTTAAGTTTGAAGAAGCATATTCAAAAAATATTGTTTCCAAGACCAATGCTGGCCTCAACAGCAAGATGAAGGAGTACGGGCACTCCTTTGTGTGGCGCGCTAAAACGTGTGGCCAGTTGAAAGAACTCGGACGCCTGGCGACTAGTACCTTATGTTGAAAGGTCTCCCGGTCTTTTTCGGGCAACGGGAACCCATGCTCATCTTACAATCCCACTGTAAATGGGACAAAAAGACTCAACTTTCTATTGTAAAAGGCAGTACTTTGTAGACGTGCTTGAAAAGCCACACAGCCGACATTGTTATACATATATATATATTGTTGCAAAGGTTATCGAAACGTCCATCGCACTTTGCAAGAAAGTGTGCGTGGGGTCGTTGCGGGCGGCGTGACCTTGTTTGGATTTTTGATTGCTTTGTAGTGTTGATAGTTGGCAGCCAAGAATCTTGGAAATGTTCGTGTGTTGATGATGAACGACCGAATGCAAATAGAGCAGGTCCAATGAACATGCCCGAAACGAAGAAAGTATCATGTGCAGAAGCAAAAAGTAGGCATATACAGGGGTCCGTGGCTCAGGGAAAAAAGTTTGGCAAGCTACTTAATCATATGGAGCCCGGATATTCGGTCGTCGTCATAGATCTCGTGGAATCTCGAAAACCAAAAGGGGGGAGGCCCGATGCACCTGCTTTTTGTATGACAAGTGCATCGCTCTAGAAACAAGTGTAATACACAGTTGGTTTGGTAATGTGCAACGCTGTTGTTGTTCTTTCTACTACTCTCTCACACCAGGGTTCAGAAGAAAAAAGACATGTTCTATCGACCCTACAGCCATGAAAGTGAAGGTGTCATGGATATGATGTTCCCTCGCAACTTCATTAGGTCGTTAAAAGACTTAGATTTCAAGACAATGCTTCGGAACAGGTCATAAGTGCAAAGGCCAATTAGCGATGCTGTGTCTCCAGGAATGGATGCTGTCCAAGGTTGTGGTTTTTGCCGCGGAGGCTGATGAGGCCCAACTGTGCCCAGCAACTTAGAGGTGTTGGCCATCATTGGCAGACTGCGCATGAACACTGAAGGCTGAGCAAGTAAGTGCATCAGAAGGACTTGAAAAGTATTGCACCCAGAGTCCCATAGATACAGAAACCTGTGTGAGGGTGACCATTGAGGGATCGAATCCATCCAAACTTCAGCCTTGAAGCCCTTGGTTGGTAGCTGAAGGTTCCTCATGATGAGATTGCATGGAAAAATATTTGGGCTGGAGAAAACAGATCCGGAAGAGGACTGGAATTTGTCAGTGTGCTTGATGAAACACTGGAGACGTGCCGTTAATTTTCAACTGTTTTGAATTTCAGGTGTTTTTCAGGTCAGGAGGTGACCATCATTGTTCGCTCAGTTTGCTCAGACACTCTTCTACGTCAAAGCGCTTAGTGGCCACTTGATCTTGATAGTAAAGCATTGTTGTTCCAAAATAGTTGAGCTTGGTGGGAAGCACAAATGTCAGGATGAATTGCTGAAGCGGCGCATTGATAGCCTCAGCGCCGGCCACAGTTTTTGTGCTTCTTAAGACCTCAAAGATCCAGATGAAATGTGACATTTGCATCCATGCATACATTCGCTGCACATAAGCTTCCCGGCCGTTTGGAACCCGTCAGAAAACCACTTAGGCTGACGGGCACACCATCATTATCTATTTTCGCTAGAGGGGTGAGGATGTGTGTAACGACTTTGACCTAGTGATGCTCTGCCATAGGATGCTTTTGCATGCGCTTGCAGTATTTCACTGTGTCATGTGACTTCCAGTTTCAGGCTTACCGACTTTTGAAGGTTGGAAATCCAGGTCTTGCAGCCAGGTCCATCATACTTATGCAGCCAATTCATTGCAACATATTGCAACATATGTTTGTCAAGTGAATCTGTGTTTGCAACTACACAGATGCAATTGCCCAAGTTTGCTAGCAACCGAGATGATTGAAGAATCACTACGCCACCGCTCGGTATCAATCAGGTCCCAATCAGAGTGTCCTACTCTGTCAGAGTGCACCGAGGCTGGGTTGGCTTTCACAACCTTGGTGTCCCTTCAGCTGGGGCCTGAAAGTGGTTCTTTTCAGGTTCTGAAACACAAACAATTACCTATGGCAGTGAAGGCAAGACCGCATTCTTCAACTGAAATTTGAAATACCATTAGTAAGGTCGATGTTTCTTTGCTGGATTTGGCAGTGTCCCAACTCCAGAGTATGGACAAATTCAAGGCGAGAGTTTTCTTGTACATACTCTCGTTGGCCCAAACATGAAGTTCATCAATTCATCATTGACTCGCCAAACAGGCTCCACGGGACAAGATGATATGTATTTTGAACGCATGCCGTGTGGTTTGAGCCTTTTTGTGGCCGAAGGTCAAATGTTGAATTCGTGCTGCATAGTGCTGTTTAGCTGTGTTTAGTTTCTTGTGGCCCTGGCGCTCTAAGATCAATGATGTCCTGAAGAGAGCAATTGTTGAAAGCACATCCCTTGGCAGTGGCAGCTGTCAAATACTGTTAAGGCATGTTTGTTCTTCATTGCAAAACGAACTCAGGCGGAGGTGGACGACCTTTGGCAGCAGATGACTTCTTGCCACTATTGATCTATTGTGTCATTTTGGTGCGGACCCGATTCTCTATTTGGTTCGCACATCAGTGCCGGAGGGTCTGAGTGCATTTAATGCATGTTAAGGCGAACCCTCCCCGGCTCCATTCCAACATTGAATTTGTGGCGGCGTTCAGGCACAAGACTCA